TCGTCTCGATCGTTTCAAAAGGTGTCTCAGTTGTAAAATTCTTTTCTTGAAATATATGTATATTTATATATATGAGTGTTTGTGAGATGGATTTGTATAGGTTGAAAGTTAGATTAGGAAAAATGAGCATTGTTAGAGCTTTAGACAGTAGGAAACAAAGGCTCTTCTGTGATATCAAGTGCTTTGTTCTTCTCTTGCTCACTCTGCCATTTTTTTTTTCTCTTCCTTTTTTTTTCTTTAAGAAATTGTAATGTTTGTAATAAATTGGAGTTTTATTTTCGCAAAAAAATAAAAAAATAAAATAAAAATAAAAAATTGGTGTTTTATTTTGTTTTGATTTTTTTTTTTTTTGGGTAATATTTTCATTATATTCCAGATTGATCACAATTCACAAGTAAATTTGAGCATTGTCACTCTAAACTAATATTAATAATTTAATAATTTAAAAAGGTTTTGTTTAAAATAATTTACACATTTTCATTTTGACATTTCTCATGAAGCTCACTGAACCCAAAACAATTAAATTCGCGAATGGCTATAAAATATACGGAATGGCTATAAAATATACGGTTTTGCTATGAAGTCAACAGTTGACTCTATAGTGGAGCCAACTTTTTATATATAATAAATGAACCTATCATATTAACAAAATTATATTAATGTTATTTAAGTAATTAGAGAATATGGTAAGTTTACTTGTTGTATATAGAAGGTTGGCTTCACTATGAAACCAACTGTTGGCTTCATAACAAAACAGATAAAATATATCTATTTCTCGTCTCGTTTGATAAATTTCTTTTACCAATTTTTTTTGAATAGATGTGAATTTTATTTTTAAAAAAATATTATTTACCTAGTGATACTTTTTTTTTTCTCTTCAATTTTACCAACACAATATAAAAAATAGAGTAAATTGTAATTTTAGTTCCGTGTGTTTCAGTTTTCACAATCTTAACTTTTTTGTCCTCTTCGAATTGCGCTTTTGATTTTCGTCTTGTATGTTTGCAAAATGGTTACCAAAAAACTTTTTGCGCAACAAAAATGTCCTTTATGTTTTGCAAAAAAAAGTTCAAATTTCATTTGAAAAATACTACCTCCTATTCAAAATAAATGTCGTTTTGACTTTTTTGATTCATCCATTTTGCTATGTATCTAGACATATTTATGTCTAGATACATAGCAAAATGGATGAATCAAAAAAGTCAAAACGACATTTATTTTGAATAGGAGGGAGTATATTTTTGTAACATTTTTGCAAACATACGAGACAGAAATATAAAACGCAATTAAAAAAGGACGAAAAATTTAAGATAATGAAACATACTAAAATTACAATTTATCCAATATATAACTATTTATTCCTACACATACTTTTAGGTTTTAATAATTACAAAATATCATAATTTGTCTATTTCAAAGTTGCATCGTTTTCGGTAATTGTTTTTTCTTCAAATTCATTCACAAATTTAAAACTATTTTTTTCACCCATTCTTTTTTCCCTACTTTTTATCATTATTTTTACACTATTAATCTATTTTTTCCAAAATAATCAATTTCCCATCTTAAGATATCAATCAGATCTGATCAGAAAGAAAAGAAAGTTAAAAGTATTACACAAAAATGACAAAATTAAATAAAGGGAAATGCTACAGTCCCGTTAAGGTACCATCTCGTCGGGTGTTTTAACGGTTGGATCATTTATCTTATCCAACTACATGTGGATCCAATGGTTAAAACACCCGATAGGCTGGTACCGTAACAGGACCGTAGCATTTCCCTTAAATATATATATTAAAAAAAAAAGCCAAAATCGAAAGAAGAATTTCTCCAATTTCATCAGCTTGAATCCAAAATCTCAATGGCGATCCCAAAACCCCATCACAAGTCAAAATCAGCAAAGCCCAGATCTTCATTCCTCATCCTCACAGCGTCTATCGCATGCATCGCTGTGTTGTACCTTGCGTCATCTCTACTTTCCACGCCGTCGTGGTTCTCTTTCTCCACCTCGAGTAGCTTACAGAACTTGGTGAACAAGCCCAAGAACCGTTACACTCTGCAAGAGAAGTACTTATACTGGGGCACCAAAATCGATTGCCCTGGAAAACACTGCGATTCGTGTGAGGGTTTGGGGCACCAAGAATCTAGCCTTAGGTGTGCCCTTGAAGAGGCGTTGTTTCTTGGGAGGTATGTTACATGTGCCTGTTAATTTGGAGGCTAATGTGTTTCTACGAAATTTTTTGGGTAATATTTGGTGGGTTCTGTGGCAAATCATGAAACTTAGGTGTGGGTTCTTCTGCATTTTCTATGATTTTTTGTAGTTTGTTGTGATGCAGCTGTTTGATGTTGTTTAAGAATAATGTGACCATTTAGTAGGTTTATTTAGAGATTTTTCTTTCTGTGTGTGTATGTGCGTGTGTGTGTGTTGTCCTTGATATAGTCAATTGGGTTCGGTTTTATTCTTTAAAATTTGGCATTTTTGTGTAACTTATGTCAGGAAGTGATTCTTCTTGTTGAAACATTGTTGAGAGAGTGGTGTTATTTTGACAAAACTGTGACAGGTTTATGGTTCGGTGAGTTTTTTTGGGACATAGTTAACCGGTTGTTGGTGATAAACAGTTCTGAGTGAATCATTCGTTTGCAGATTTGGGATATTTGGTTAGATTGTCAAGGTTCTTTATAGTTTATAGGGGTGATCATAGATTAGGGAAATGCTACGGTTTTGTTACGGAATCATTCCGTCGGAGTTTGTAATCGTTAGATTACATGATGATCTAATGGTTACAAACCCCGACGGAATGGTTCCGTAACGGGACTGTAGCATCTCCCCATAGACTATTATACACAATGTACCACTTTTATTTTTCATTTTTGTCTTTTAATTGTAATCTATGTTCATTTCAGTGCTGTCACCTCTGTTTTGTAATATGACATTTTACACTTTCGCAGCATAGTTGTTCTTTTCTTTACACTAATCCTATATTTTCTGGTTGCAGGACATTTGTAATGCCTTCTAGGATGTGTATTAATCCCATACACAATAAAAAGGGGATTCTTCATCAGTCAAGTGATGTAGTTTCTGAGGAAGGGTAAGTTTAGTTCTGTAGCTCATAAAACTCACAAACTATACGCAATTGTGTACGGTAGTGAAGCTCTTAAAATTTATAAAAAGAAGCATTGGTTATGCTTTTACTACAAATTACCAAAATTTATCAAAAGTTCGTTAAAATTATGCTGTTCCATAATGATCTTTTTTTTTTTTTTGGCTAGGTGGATTTCTAACTCGTGTGCAATGGAATCTTTGTACGATCTGGATCTTATATCCGTAACTGTACCTGTAATTTTGGATAATTCGAAAATTTGGCATCGTGTCCTTGCGACGAGCATGAAATTGGGATCCAGAGGAATTGCACACGTGCAAGGAGTTAGTCGAGCTGAGCTCAAAGAAAATGCTTTATATTCAAATCTTCTACTCATAAATCGAACTGCAAGTCCTCTGTCGTGGTTGGTATCTAATTTTCTGCGAATGTCTTTTATCTTAATATGTTATTTTCTTATTTTCTTGCCTTTGGAATTGAAGTTCATGATGATGTAAACAGTTAGTAGTCTATCTAAATTTTACATTTCTGAAAGGTCTTTTTTTTTCGATAAAATTCAACCTAATTTATGTTGCTATGCCGTTAGAAGATTAGCATGCTGAATTACGCACTTGAATAAGTTTTTTGAATCTTATAGCTTTGTGTAGGTATTAATCGTGGTGTAGTCATTCAGGTTCATGGAGTGCAAGGATAGGAACAATCGCAGTTCGATTATGTTGCCTTATTCTTTTCTTCCTTCGATGGCTGCAAAGAAGTTTCGAGATGCTGCAGAAAAGGTAACTTTTGTCTGCCTTTGGATTAATTTTGTCAGTTTTCTCCATCAATTAGGCATTGCAATTTATAATTTTACTATATATAATTTTTTCAGCTTTTCCTTATTGTATTAAGTGTAATTTATTCTTTTCCCCGAAAAGCAAGAAAGATAACAATGAAGATCAATGCTATTGAGTTGGATTAAAAAAAAATGGCAATTAATGTGTGGCATAAACCTGAGTGAGAAGATTAATATCATTACAAAAATAAAACGAAAATATTCATACGTATTTCAAAATGAATATTTGCTGGGAACTTATTATGGTCCACTTTATTTTGTTTATTCAAGTGAAAAATCACTTTGAGGATTCTTCTTCTTGCTCTCATATTTTACTCGAATTTAATTTCTTAAAAATAATGAAAATAGATTAAGGCACTTCTTGGAGATTATGATGCTATTCACGTTCGCCGAGGAGATAAACTGAAAACGAGGAAAGATAGATTCGGTGTACAGAGGACTTTACATCCTCACCTTGATAGAGACACACGTCCCGAATTTATTCTTTGCCGAATATCCAAGTGGGTCCCACCTGGACGGACCCTTTTCATAGCGTCAAACGAGAGGACGCCCGGTTTCTTTTCGCCTTTGGCTGTGAGGTACTTCTATATTATTTATTTTCATTCTTATTTTTTTTGTAGTTTAACTTTTACGCATATTCTTGTAGCTTTTTCATTTTCCAGAAAAGAAAAAGAACAATAATACACTGAAAAAAGAATAATAAATATCAACAATCAATTCTGAATGTGTCTTATTTGAATAGTTCCACTGGCAAAAAGATGCGCTTCCGTAAATGCTTAAAAAATTCGGCCTTTACGGCTACTTTTTTTTTTTGTACATTTTCGCAGATATAAATTGGCAAGCTCGGCAAACTACAGCAGCATTTTAGATCCATTAATCGAGAACAATTACCATTTGTTCATGGTGGAGAGGCTTATCATGATGGGAGCTAAAACGTTTATTAAGACATATAAAGAAGACGATAAAGATCTAAGCCTAACGAACGACCCCAAAAAGAACACCAAGATTTGGCAAATACCCGTCTACACAAAGGATGGAACCGAATGCTGATCACTCATAGCGTGCCACTTGGCGAATTGGGATGGGCTGTCGGCTTACGATTGTGAGGAAAGAAAGCTGTACGGTTTCGCTCGGTTACATCAAAGAGAACCGGAACAAATCATCTGGCGCGCGTGTAAAAGCCTGAGTGAAATCTAAACTGAAAAAACAAAATAGTTTTACTGAGGAAGAGAGTAAAGAAAGTTCTTTAGGCCTTTAGAGAGAAGAGCTTATCAAGTGCTGATCATTTTTCCTTCTTTTTTTTTTTTTGTTAATATTTCCTTATCGAAATAATATTTTATTGGTCCCTATTTATATAAAACAATATTTTATGGGTCCCTATTTATATATGAGGGAATCTACAAATATTTAAATATGTTTAATAAATGCGAAATTCAAAATACAAAAAAAAATATTATTGGCAAATAAAGCTATGCCTCACAAGTCACTACTAAAAAATGATTGATTATTCAATCATTCAATCCATATTCTAAAGTCCCAAATAAATGAATGTAATAAATTAAAAGAAAATAAATAAAAAATAAAAAATTAAAAGATTAAAGCGTGTTTTAAGATTCCGCCACACGTGCGACTCTCTTATAAAAGCGCGAAAACACCCCATTTTAGAGTGAAAAAAAAAACTCAAAAAGAGAGAAAAATAAAGAAAGAAATAAAGTATATCCTCTAGCGTCACTCCGCCGATATTCCGACGTCAGCTCGCCGGGATATTCACTTTACCGGCATCAGGTACTATCTCAGAAGCTGTTCGTAATCCATCGGTCTAAAAAGGTTCGTTTTCGTCGGGATCTCTTTTCTTTTCTGCTGAAATCTGTAATTTAAGTTTGAACAAGCCGATTGGTTTGGTCGGAAAATGTTGTTGGTTATATGGCGGCTTGAAAGGGATTATGGTATCTCATTTTTGTCTCAGATTGGAGTGGGTTTGAGGATTGAACGATAAAATATGAGTTTAAGCTCCTTATGTATTGTGGGCCTCTGTGAAATTGGATTTATGAGTGAGTGCGTGTGTGTGTGTTGTGTGTGTGTGTGTGTTGTGTGTGTGTGTGTGTCGTTCTAGCTTCTGTTTTTTTTTTCCTTATTGTTAATCAATCGCTAAAAAACATTGGAAAGCTTCGATTTCTTCTGTATACATAAGATTGAATTTGCTTTTTATTGTGTTTTGTTGTGAATATAAAGAACAGTGAGTTGAACTTTGAAATTTCCTGTCAAGATTATAACATTGAGCAGACTTAAACATTTGTGTGTTAGCCAAATTTATTCACTTCACTTTACTTGTAGCAGATAAGAGTGCTATTCGCCTCTGCTGAAAATGCCGTACCTTGTACGCGAGCATTTGTTCATCGGTAACATTGGAGATTCTGCAGAGATTCTCCATAACGGAAGTGATGACATCACACATATCCTCTCCGTCCTCAGCTCAGCTTCGATTTCTTTCTTCTCCGAGTGGCGTAATGGACTTTCAATCCCCACCAAAGAAATCCGGAAGGTTTATGTTGGGGACTCTGAATCTAAGAGCCCACTTTCATCGGATAAGCTTCTCTACTCTCTGGAATATGCCGGTAAGGATTTGAAGTTTGTGAGGATGGCAGTGCCTTTGAGGGACATGGAGAGTGAGGACTTGCTCGACTATTTGGATGTTTGTCTGGAATTTATCGAAAATAGTAGGAAAGAGGGTTCGGTTTTGGTTCACTGCTTTGCGGGTGTATCAAGAAGGTATAGATTATTACATTGATCTGCATCAAGTTAGGAAGGTATAAAGAATATTAATATTGATAAGGCTGATGCTGCTGAAAATCTTGCCAGTTATCTTTTTCTTACTGTTTGTTAGAGTAGTGATTTGTTTTGTTCGCAAATGCTTATTTGTTATTGTACGATAATATTCAGCGAAAGCATAAATTGTAATTGGTTTTGTTCTCTGTTCTGTCAAGCCCTTAAAGGGTTTACACCCTTCTTTGCCTGTGTTCGTTACAGTGCAGCAATCGTTACAGCTTACCTGATGAAAAGTGAACGATTATCAGTAGACGGTAACGAGTTTCACTTATCAATGGTATCTGAATTATATTTATTATTCTCTAATCTTTGAGTGGGTCTTTTATTTTCATTTACCTATATTGGTCATTAGATGCTATTGAGTCTTTGAGGCAGAGCTGTGAATCTGTGTGCCCTAATGAAGGTTTTCTGGAGCAGGTGACTTCAAATGGGGACGTATTCTTGTGTATGATAATTAAATTATCAAACTTTTGGTTACTGATAATTTTGGCTTGGAGATTTTTGTTGCAGTTGAAAATGTTTGAAGAAATGGGCTTTAAGGTGGATTATGAGAGTCCCATATACAAGCGCTTTCGCTTAAATGTATTAGGTCCGCATATTTTTCCTCAACAATTAACAATATAGCTTGAAAACTGCCCTTTTTGACCAATTACATTGTTCTATGCATGAAAAAACCTCAAAATTTACAGGTGATTTATATAACCGTGGAGAGAAAATAGATATTTCCAAGTTCGAGCCTGACCCGGGCTCCCATGCTGAAAAGCTTTCGTCTGATGATGAAAAATTAGTCGATAAAGAAGCACTGCCCAAGACTAATAATGCTTACCGTTGTAAGAAATGCCGAAGGCTAGTTGCCTTGAAAGAAAATGTCGTCGAACATGTTCCGGGAGAAGGCGAGATGTGCTTCGAGTGGCGTAGAAGGAGTGGAACTTTTAGCAGATCTGAGGATGACGAGTGCTCGTCCATCTTTGTCGAGCCTCTTCGCTGGATGAAAGCTGGTACGATTTTTCTTTTTAGTTTAAAGTAGAAAAATTTGTGGTTATTTTTTTGTGTTGAGGTCAAGGCAATTAGATAATCTTAAACTTTCTAAAAATAGTCTCAAACCTTCACACGTTTGCACAATTTTTCATAACGAATACCACAGTAAAACTTCCGCGCTTGAAGTTCCAATGAAACAAAACGGGCTCCAAAGTTCAAACACGGTTTTTTAGATGGTTTTTACTCTAGTTTAGATGTTTTTAGTTCCTAATTGCTTTTAAGCTATACAGTTGAAGAAGGTGGTATGGAGGGAAAGCTGTTGTGCAATCACTGTGAAGCTCGTTTGGGTTACTTCAACTGGTCGGGTATTCAGTGCAGCTGTGGGAGTTGGATTTCTCCTGCTTTCCAGCTTCACAAAAGCCGAGTCGATATCAGCTTTGTCTAGAAGCTTCTTCTGGTTTTCTCGCAAAGTATAATCGAAAGACTATGTAACTCAGCACATTTTGGCCGGAATGTACCCAAATTGTGCTGTAAAAGTTGGAAAACTTGTTGGGACTTCTGAGCTTTAAGTGGCTTGTTTTATTTTAGGGGATATATAATATAATGTCTTTCTTTCTTTCAAGCTTTGGTGATTTTCATTTCATTTTGTGCAGTGAAGGATATATGTATGTATGGATATGAAAATACAATTTTTGCTTTCTTTATTTATGTATCCTTTAAAAATCAGCAAAAATAATGCACTTCCAAGTATAAAATGTACCAATTCTAAATTAAACTTTTGCCACAACATTCAAAAGTCCCACAAGTTGAAATATCCTACTGTACACTGCCAATCAGGTACACTACAGGCTACAGCTATGTAGCGAACAAAAGCCGAATTAATGTGTGAAGGAAAAAAAGACAAATGATTCATGTGGCCGAATGTTTCTCTCGATAGAAAGTCTGAGATTCGATTGTTCGAGGCTTTGATTGGATTCCATGTGTATAATTTGAATAAATATGCTGTTTTTTTGGATCATGAATGCCCTAGGGACTCGAGAAGTATGTTCGTGGCAGCATTGATGTTGTTTCTTGCTTGTACGAGTGCTTGTCTTGCTGAATTCTGGTCAAAGCCCATCGAGACCAATGTTGCTATCATGTCCTCGGTTGGTTCGGAATAGTTTGCCTGAAGCCATAAATGATAAAACCCGAAAAAGATTCTAAACGATAAAATAAAATAAAAGAATATCAACTGTTAATAAAGCTGGAAAATCGAAGATAAAAAAGGATCGAGTATTATAAGGATTGAGCTCATTCCTTTAATGTAATAACAAAATTATCCGGCATTGTCATAAAATCTTCGGAAAAAAATTGAATTTTCCTACTCTAAAGGAATACTGACCTCCATATGACGTCCGGCAAAGGGTGGTGCACTTCCGACAATATTCCTGGAAGATCTTGTGGTGGGTGATGAACTCCCGATAGATGGAAAAGAAAGTCTCGAGAAGAATGAAGCAATAAACTCGGGAAACTGAAGCCAAAAACAAAGTTAAACTAGTCTCAGCTATAGCTTAATAACAGAACCGAGTAAGAAGTAATAATGGCAATATTTGATCATAAAGTAGCAACTCCATAGACCAAAACCTAAATATTTTCTGGATGCAAAAGGAAACATAATATAAATGGATATGAACATGTTTTAAACATTCTGCAGGAAAGATGATCAAAATGAAAATGATTTAGTTTATTGGATTAATACTATAAATTAGAAGAATTATGAAGAAATGTCTAACACCAGAAAGGGTCACGAATTTCACATATTGCTGAAATGAAATAGTAAAAGATTCAAAATACAAGTAAAACCCTCTTAAAAACTGATTGAATGAAGATTGGGTGCAACCTTTATCCTGCGTACACGGAAAACATTCAAGCGGTATAGGGAACCTGCTAGAATACCACAAATCCCAGGCAGCATGGATCTTTTCCAGGATGATAAAAATAGCTGCAAAATACAAGTGACAAAATAAGTAACACATGCTAAAAAAAAAAGAGAGAATATACGATATGAAAATTAGTTCGCTATCAGGTGTAGTTGCAATACTCATAGTTACCTGAAGTCCAGCTAAATAAATGAAAGTTTTGTCCGAGAAATTGAGGCTAAACACACGAAACCGCGTCGAAACAGGAATGTCAAAGTAAAAGGGAACAAACGAAGAAAATATAAGGCCGTAGGGTCCAGATGTGAGTATACTCAATGAGGGATCTGCTAGACCAAAAATAAATAAATAAATAAATTAAACATCGTCACTTCAAAGAAATTCATGTATAATTGTGCACTTGCACGCATATGCACACTGGGTAGTTTTTCTTATTCCGTCCCTCAAGCATAGATCTACTTGTATTGTGTAAGAAGTTTGAATAAACAAAGGATATCAACAATCATATGTGGAAAAAAAATAAAAAAAGATAGTCTGGTCTTAATGTACAAGTAGGAACTGCCGCTAATATACACGAGGAAATACCATATAATGTAAGAACCAACGGAAGTTGGCGACTATAAGAAACTGCTTCTCTTGATAACTGCTTCCTATGTAAGCTCTAGTGACAAAATTAACACACAACAATACACGGAAGGTCATATTACTAATCAAGGACTTAAAGTAGAAGAGTCTCTTAATACAGGAAAATTCATGATTCATCAGAGGGGAAAGGGCTCACATTTTATTGTTTGGGATGCCATATGGACATTACACTATAAAGGGCGTTCTCAAGAGTTACTAGCTTGGGGTCTCTTTTTCTCCCATTTCGATGTGAATAGTAACACGATAAAATACTCATAAGCATGATTTAAGGCTCATCAGTCATTTGTCTGCTTGAGACAAGTTCTATATAAAGATAATCAAACTTCACTGTATAGTCATGTGGAAGGACGGTCCCTACAGCTACAAGCCACTGAAGTAGAAAGAAAAACAAACAACAGAAAGAAAGAACTGATAAGGAAGTATTACCACACCTTTAAGTAACCATTGTGCAACAAATTCAAGCAGTAAAGACACGATGACCGAAAACAGGATAAAAACCTGCAAGAAAGGATGGAGATAGGAATTTACATTCAGTTGATAGCTCATTCAAGTATTCAACAGATTGCTCATTCACCGACTATTAATGCCAATTAAGTCAGGAAGCATTGTTGATATCAGGGTAGGATAAAAGCATTAAAACTTCATTTGAAATGAACAAAGAAAAATATTTGATAAAAGAGTGTTTCTACATCTGATATCAACAGCCAGGCAATCTCAATATTTATTTCCAAGTACACCATTACCTAACTTGAATTGGTTACGACTCAAAATAAATTCCAAACTCAAGTTTAGAAACATACAACATATTACGCCATTTGTCCACATCTGACACTTTACTTCTTGAACTACATGTTACTTTCTCCAACAACAACAATAAAACATAATTTTTCATATGAATTTCATATGAGAAACGGCATGAAAGAAATTGTGCCAGAAGCCTGCAACAAGAACTTACAGTGTGTTTATTAGAACCTATTTGCCGCTCAAACACACGGAAGTAGTACAGAAGATAAACACCAAAAACCAGTTCTGGTGTAGACGAAAAGCCAAAAACTGAAACTATGAGCTTCCATATTTGAAGCTTCTTGAAAATATCCTGCCATCAGTAAAGACCAAGCAAGCATGTCACCAATCAGACAAACATGTTGCACTATATCCACATAAAAGCACATCATTCAACTTAAATAAACAAGCATCAACAGCAAGGGCTTATACTCTTCTCCCTTTTTTCACCAAGACTACAAGAGAATAATGTCCATAGAGAAAAGCACACGCGCACAGACAGTGTGTAAGGAAGAATGCATCATTAGGTTGAGTACATAGGCAATGTGCGTGTGTGTGTAAGAGCGAGAGTCAACAACAAAATTTGTCCAGGATGATCACATAAAAAAAACAGCTGTCTATAAGCATCTTTATCTTGGGTGATATCCATGAAAAGAATCCTGCTGGCCGTGAGCCATACTTATCACCTTATTCAATTATTCTACATCTAGCAACATTACCAGTCTCATTCCACAAAAGAATAATTATGCATCTCTCAAACTGCACACATATCATGTAAAGCTAAAGATGCCTAACTATGACTGCATGGAAAAATATAGATCTAGTCATATTATTGTAGTTGGGCGATTTCTACTTTGGACCTGGAGAATGAGAACTATAAATATGCATGGGGTTCTAAATGATGTTTCCTCATATCAGAATATAATTGAACTTCTGTAAGGATGTCCCACACCATAATGTTCAAATATGAAATATCTCAAGAGTATTTTGGCAACCAGGTAAATACTACAAAAGGTCAAAGTAACCAAAAATGGCACCACCAGGGTGAGAGAAAAGGAAAAATATTGCAAGCTTCATGAATAGTCATCGGCTTTCAATACTTTACATTGATGATATGCAAAGCAGTGAACAAAACCCACTACTTGGACACTCAAGGACTCATCTTTTGGTAGTTTATAAAAAAACGAAACCACATACTTGTTCCGTATCGTTACAAAAACAGAGGTAACCAAGGAATGCATGTACCTCCACTTTCTCAAATCTCAATCCATCCAACGTAAAACCAGAATTCCCAATCAAAGCTAGAATTTCAGCTAATATTCATCATAACTAACTACCTCATACCAACATTCCTATCATAGCCAAAAAAAATAAAATAGAAAAATGAAGATCACAAGAAAATAAAATAAATAAAACCTTTTCTGAATAGAAGCAGGAAAAAAATTCCTCTCACTTCCTAAAAGAAAGACAACAGGAATACCTGATACGACCAAGCGAAGTTTCTAGAACGAGCTTGGAGCCCAAATATCACTGTGAAAAGAACACTCGCGATCACCACTACCCTCGTCACCGGCGCATTATCTGCAAGAGGTAAATAATTGCTCGTAAATATCCAATTCTCCGTACCAGGCGGAGACAAAGGGGGGAAATTTTAGGTTTTCAAACCCTAGCAAACAGAAACTTACTGAAACCAGATGGGCCGCCGTTCATCTTCCAGGCGAACAAACCACGTCTCCGATCACTTGCAGCGATATATATCAAGTTGTATGTATATGTGAATAGACAAATTATGTGTATAACGTCGTCTCTCTCGCTGTAGATATCAGATAGTTTTCTCTCTCTAAAATCGCCCCTTGTTTCTCCAGCTCGTCGCCTGAGTCGTCGTCTTCGCACGCTTTTGCTTGTTGGTTGGGTTTATAGAGAGTCGGAATTAATTTTTCATTTTTGAGCAAATTATTAATTAATTTCTATAAATTGGTGGTGTAGATAACTGAGTTACACCTATTTTAATATATATTGTCACAAAATTTTCAGACAATTTTAGACTAATTATTTGAAAATGCTTTTTTTTTTTTTTGGGGTACAATGTAGAAGGCCAAAGCCTTATAAAGTGATTAAGCTAGAATGCAACGGGGTAAGATATCCCCGCAAGATCATGTTGTAACCAAGCTCCCAAACCAGAGGGGGAGACGAAATCCGATGCAACCCGCTGCAACACTCGTCAAGTAATCTGCTGCAAAATTAGCTTCCCTATGAACATGTTAGAGTGTAACACTCCATTCCCGATCAAAGAGGCTTCGAATAGCACTCACTAGAGCAGTTGGTTCCCTAGCATATCCGTTGTGCCACTAACCAACTGTGTTACACTGATTTGTATGACAAATGTGGTTTATCTAATAAATACTCAAAATTTTGTAATATTTTATATTATTTTATGAATATAATAATTATTTTTAAAGCTAAAGTTTATGCAAACAAGATGTTAGCCAACTTGATCCATATAAATTCAAAACATCGAACAAGGTGGCAAGTCACGCGATCAAACACCAAGTCGACATATAACATGATAGTTTTTTGCGCACAACACACAATCCGCCAAAGCACAATAACAGTAGAGTACCATGCACGAAAATACAAAACAAAGTATCTTATAGGCCGAGCCCAACAGTCCGGCCGTCTCGCCGGCGCAACCCGGCCGTGTACTGCCTTTCCAACTCCATCTGAAGTTGCTCCCTCTGCTTCTCGACATCTGGATCGTCCAGCTTGGCCGCCACCTTGGACTCCACCTTCACGCCCTACAATCGGCCACAGGCACCAATCCAACCTCAGACTCTAAAAGAGGTGTCAGTATTATGTGGTGGGATAAATGTGAAGTTACGACTTATGAGAGCTTTGTGCATCAGTTTTGTGAATATTTTTTATTTGCATGCAAACTTGCAAAGCAACGGTAGAGTGAATGATGGCTTACCATGAGTTTGTTGAATTTTTCTTGTCGTTCGCGATCGCCAAACATTGTTGTGTCCCAACGGTGGGCAGGCTATATGGAGTATAGTGTTTAACATACAGAAAACGAGACAGGAGGATGTAAATCGTGTAATACATGTCAGGGAAATGATAATCTAAGCATAATATAGTTTGTTTAATCAAAACCTCCATACCATTTGTTTGTTTGTTTGTTTATCAGCTAATTTTACCAAACACTTTTATCATATAAGCTAGCTTTTCAACCATAAGTCATAAGCTATCAACTATAAACTCGAAATTCACTTGAGCTATAAGTTAGATTATCAGCTTAGATATAGCTAGATTATCGGCTAGATTTACCAAACATAGCTTATTATCTACTTATTGTGTTGAAGAGAAAAAATAGCAATGACGTAAGATACCTCCTCCGTAGAAGTGTTTTTCTTGTTGCCCCACAAAAGCTTTTTCTTTTGATCAGCAGTCATGCATCCAGTTCCAATCAAGTTCTTGTTAACTGTGCGTTTGTCCGAATGTTGCATCAAAGCAAAAGAAGCAAATTAGTCCAAAACGAAAGTTAATGAATTCGTCACCACAAATCACCTTACACGAAATCAAGTTACCATTTACAAAGAATTCAAAGAGTAAGTGCAAATTCTTCGAATGCCAATTTAACCTGGACAAGTCGCAACTATACAACAGCACTACACGAGCTGAAAGAACACAACCCCTACGGAAGATACATTGACCTACCTAATTCAGCAGCTTTCATAGCAGCAACTTTTGCAGCATCAATATCAGAATCCATCACATAAGCCTTCTCAGGAGGACCTGCTCAACAACTCCCATACATGATATCAAAACAGGAAAAACAAAACAAAGCACATCACTAAAGGAGTTAATGAAACATACCATCTCGTCCAGCAGCACTTGTATCAGGGCCTAAAGTCTTCGGCTTCTTAGCGACAGCCTCTTCACCTTTATCGGACATACTGCCAGGGTTCTCCTTTGTATCTCTATTAATTTGCACCTTATGAGAACCCATATCTACACGGCTCTTTTCATCATTTGAATCAATTTCATTGTAGTCTCTTGAAAAGGATTCTTTCAAACGATGCCCAGAACTGTCCCTTCGTGAATAATAATCATTTCTCTGGGCTCTTGATTCTTCATAAGCAGGTGAACGATCACCTTTATGATCAATGGAACTCTTTCTATAGTCCGTCTTTCCATACCGATCACCCCTATCATATGAGTCATTATCCTTACTTCTATGTCCCAAACCCTCAGATTTTGCACGCGAGTATGTGTCTACATCTTTCACGTAATGTCTAGACGGGTGCTCTCTATCAGACCTTGAGTAATTTGAGTTATTGTTGTCTCGCAAGTCCCGGCTAGAACGGTAGGAGTGCTTGGAATATCCTCGATCATAATCATCCTCACGTCTATCGCGCCTAATATGGTCATCACGCCTGTGATGGCTCCTAGACATCCAATTCCTACTATCGTCCCTTTTTTGTTCAACATCAGCAACTTTTGTAATATCCTTTCTCCACGGGACTGGACTCAAGCTGCGGTCACGTGGTGGACTCCCTGAATACATGTAAAAGAAGCTATAGAAGTAAAGGAATGGTTAATTACTTTCAATTTAAATAACTTAAATGAAAAACAATTCAGGACATTTATAACATTTGATGACAGCATAGGACATAATTAAAGTTAAATGGATATATGCGCAGTTTCACATTGCTGACGTAGTCCAATCACATTCTCATATTATAAAGCATATTTGACTACTCAGTACACATCAAATAGCATACAAGCTAACAATCTATTCCTGCTTTATTGTTAAATATGGACTTTCAATTTGTAATAGTCATCAGTTGAGTAAACTCGGTATCATCTCCGAGAACAGGCAGAAACAACATACTTGTAATAGACCACAAAATCAATTCTAGCACAATTTTTTTTTTAAGCAATACAAGGGGGCAAATAAATACTCATTACAGCAAGTCACTAAAAATCACAAATAAATCTGAAATCTGAATATTCGAATGTCATTAATAATAACACACTACAAACACAACCAATACTAGAATATATCAACAACAAACTCACAGCATACACCGATAAATATCCAGTCGAAAAATTGATAAAATTAATGTTAGCTTTTTACTTGAAAAAGAAAATGAATCTTAAACATTCAGAGGAAAATACCATCTGATGGTGATGGCGACCCAGCCACCGGAGATCTACGCCGGTACTTCCTATTAGCTGCATCATTCGACGGCTTACGAAATTCAGCCTTGGAGTCCGTATTCCCTCTCGCACTTGAATCCATTCGCACCTAATTCAAAACCAACAGCCTAATAAATCGGTAACCTTTAAACAACGAATTCTTGATTTACAGCCAAAAACACCAATCATTGAGCTCACCAACAAACACAAAATACAAACCCTAAACAAATGATAAAGATACCCAAAAAATCACAAATTCGTATGTAAAGCGGAAAAATCATGGACGCGTATCCACATACATTATAATTTCATAAATTACCTCTCTGTACAGCACGTTTGCCTTCTATTTTTGTGCTTCGATTTTAGGGTTTGCCTTTGTTCGTGTTGCGATTTGTGAGTGCTTACAAGTTACAGCAGAAAGCTGGAAATGGATTTTGACTGGTAGACAGACAAAATAGAAAATGAAAATATATATTTTTATTGATGAGGTGTAGTTGATGGGCTTGGGCTAGATATATTGGCCCTTTTATTCATACTCGACTTTCTAAACGGTCTTCTGGCCCATATATGCATGCTAAAAAGTGCATATGGGGTGGTAATATCCTCCTCTCGGTAGGGCCTCAAGTGAGTCGAGCATTGCCCGAGCCATGCTCAATACTTTTGGCACCTGCTCGAGCTCGATGTATTTGTCTTACTCAATGATCAGCTTGACTTGATAACAAAACAAAATCAAGATTAGTTCGAATTTCGTTTGGGTTCGACGAAAATTTTCAATTACAATTTGTATAACGAGGGGCATTTAGGTAGTTTTATACAAGCATACAACCTCTATGCTCGAGCTCAAGTTCGAAATTGAAATGCTCGAGCACGACTCAAGTGCTCCGATCAACTCGTTTGCAGCCCTGCTCTTGAATATTAATTTTGATATTCATTAAGTTTATAAATTGAAAAAACAAAAAGTAGGTTTGTGTTAAAATGATGGTCATATTCATTCAATAAATATATATATTTTTCATACTCAAATATCACTTTTTAAAAATGTATTAATAAAAGATAAACTCATAGTAATATTTTACGTTGTTCTAAAAATCGGTCTAGGGGGCTGCCTAGGCACTAGACGGTGTCCGACCGCCTCCGATTTGCATAAATCGGGCATGCGATTAGGCGGCGCCTAGACGGCTCTAGGCGCTCCTAGGCGGGCTCGGCGGTAATTTTTTAATTTTTATTTTTTATTTTTTTTAAAATTCTAATTACATTATTTTGTTCTAATATTTTCTTTAAAATATATTAATATTATTATTTGGACTTAGGTGTATGGATTTATTATAACTTGAGATAGTTTTATTTTATAAATAGTTAAAATAAATAAAAGATGGGGTTTTTAATAATGGTTGGCCTAGGCGCTCTAAGCACTAGGTGCTGGTCGAGTGTTCAGCGGACGCTTATCGACTTTTAGAACACTGATATTTTATCCTTACTTTGTAAAATACAAAGAATTATCTTATAAGTGAAAAACTAGAAATTTGTATGTATTACTATCTAAAAATTTATTTATAATAACATTTATTTCCATATACTTTTATCTAGTAGCTTTTAAATTTTTAATTTTCACACTTTACGTTACTACCAACACATTTGTTTTTTAATCATGTAGCTTTTAAAATTTCAAATCTCAACACTTCACACTACTATTT